GGATGACCCCTAAACAGGGAGAAACAGGTACTAGGCATCTGGATGACCCCACACAAGGCTGACTCCTAATTTAGAGGAGAGGAACAGGAACTGGGCTCACCATCTGCTTGGCTGGTCCCAGGCATTGGACAAAACTACCTGGCACGGTGGTTGCTTTTTTGCAGACGGAGTCCATGCAGGATCACCAATTGGGAGGGCCAATCACAGAAGAGTGGCTGCTGAACCAGGTTCTAGTCCCAGGTACCCCAGGAAGACTTAGAAATAAAATTGGAAGAATTCACAGGTGTGTGAACTTCTGTGTATGTAACGGGCCCGATAGTGGATACTTCAGGCTTTGCAGGCTGTATGGTCTCTTTCTCGGTTCTGCCGTTGTAGAAGAGAGCAGCCAATGGCAAATGTAACCAAATGGGCACACTGCATTCTAATAAGACGTTATTTACAGAAACAGGCAGTGAGCTGGATTTGGTCCGCTGGCTGGATCCCAACCATTGCATGTGGCAGAGGACCGCGGGCAGAGGCTTCACTGGATTGGATTGAATGGTGCAAATAGTGGGACTACAGGACCAAATGATAAATGCACCTATCATTGTGGCAGATATGCTCAGACTCCCCTCTACAGAGCTCTTATTGTGGTAAAGTTATCATTTACCACCAGCAATTGCATCTGATTCCCTACAGCCTTGCCAAGAAAATGTTTTATCCGATTTTGAATTTCTGCCAATTTGATAGTGAGAAATGGTATCTCCGTGTGATTTTAATTAGCATTTCTTTCCATCTGAGTAGTTCTGAGCATCTCTCTCTCTCTTTTTTTTAATGAATCATCTGTCTTTGGTTATTTTATTATTTTGTTATTGGCCTTTTTCTTCCTGATTTATATTAGTTCTTTACATATTGAGATTAGCCCTTACTGTGTGTTCTGCAGTTGTTGGATATGGCAGTCTATGTATCAGTTAGGTCAAAGTGGTTGACAGCATTGTTCAAATGTTTAGCATACCTAGTAGTCACTCAAGTGGAGCTGTCCAGCAAGCATTTGGAAATACACATCTGGAACTCGGGTGAGAGGTCTGGAGTGGAGAAATAAACTTGAGAATATTTGAAACAATGAGATGGGTTAGGTAATCTGGGGAGAAAAAGTAGAGCATAGGTAATAAAAACATTCCAACATTTAGAGATTGAGAAGGAACAACCACAAGGCAGAGAAAGGGGCCTCCAGGGGTGTAGAAAACAAAGCAAAAGGCCAATGAGAATTCTTATTGAGAATTGATCAATGGATTCGCCAACATGGAGACTATAGATGATTTTGACAGGAATACTTTCAGTTGAGAGGTAGGGACAAAAGCCTGACATCTCAGAGAGCACAGTGATTAGAGCAGCAGTGGCCAACCGGTGGTTCCGGAACACTGGTGGTCCGTGAGGTCTGAAAGGTTGGCGACCGCTGCATTGGAGAAATACAGTCGGCTGCTAGATAGTTGAGGGGTAATTTGATGTCTGAGGTTATACACTGAAAGGTCTGTTTTTCACCAGCCACATTCAGCTGCTCACGGGCAGGTAAAGCATCAGTGAGAGCTATGTCTAACCAGAGCTGTCCAGTCATGATGAAGGTGGTAGGGGAGGATGTATCGATTGATGAACCTGGGAATCTAAGCTGCAAAGTGAGAAGAGTGCATAAGACAGAGAAAAAAGTGACAAAGCAATAGATTGGAGATTTAGGTATGGTCAAAGCCAATACATTATACTCATTCATACAAGATATAAACATAGATCGCCCCACTCTCTTCTGGGTGAGTTCCACACATGTAGTTTATTAAAAAAATATACATACAACAGGATGGGTATTTCTTCAATTTTATTCTTATTTGAGTTTACAACAATTCAAGGAAGGAAGATGCCCATAATAAATGGGTAGAATACCATACCACAGATATATTATATGGCAAAGAAGCCCAAATACTGAAAGACTTTTTAAAATGTACTTCATTTGGCTACATCACCGATAGTCTCGATGAGGAATTTTGATGTCTTCCAGAAGATACATTACCCTAAGTTCCCATTTTATCATGTTCTGAGAAATGAGTTTTTAAAGAAAAAAAAATGGTTGGTAACCAAAAATAGAAAAATGTTTTAAAAAAAGTATCTGTGCGTAAATAAAGTGCCTGGTAGATTAGTGAAAGGAATAAGTTTGGAAAGCAGGGGTTTTTATATTGAATAAAAATACTGTGAATTCACATTATTCAAGACTGATCAATTATTTTTGTGGGTAAATAGGTCATCTTAGCATTTGCATATTTATCTAAAGGCTTTCAGAAAATAGTAAAATGTTTCAGAGGAATCTACATCCCTCTTATAAATTAATCCAGTTAATTGATGACTGATTTTTTCCATGTTTATTTTTTATCATATGCCTTTTAGACGTTTTGTTGCTGTAACCAAGGTTGAGAAAAGAGCTATAAGTCAGTCATCCTAGTTCTTTCTCATTGTCTACCTAGAATGACTGCACCTGGGAAGGGTGGTAGCAATGAAATGTTCTATGGAATAAGGCATTGTTCTTTTTATTCTACCGTTTTTATTTATCTGTGTTTTCCTGGGGCTTAGGAACATGAATAATTCACGGTTGGTACACTGACCAGCAAGACACATTACATGGAGGTCTCCCTGCCTGAAATCTAAAAGCAGCAGCAATGCTCTGTGCTATGGACAGCCCTGTGTCTCCATTGCTCTCCGCCTGGGGAATTAGGAAGGTACTCCTGGTGCATTTGCGGGGGAGAGGGGAGAGGGTCATAGGAAGAGTACTGGCTCAGGAGATTGGACACCTTATCTTTAGTCACAATCTGGTCACTTCGCAGCCACGTAAATGTAGCTTCTCTGAGTTTCCGTTTCTTTTGCTATAATACAGAGAAAGGAAGACCTATCTGACCTATGTCACAGGTTCTGTCAATGCACTAAGGTTGTTGATAAATGCTTTAAAATGTGGTTTCCTGGCCCTGGCTGATGTGGTTTAGTTGGTTGGACGTACACCAAAAGGTGGTGGGTTTGATTCCGAGTCAGGGCACATACTTAGTTGCGGGTTCAAGCAACCAATTGATGTTTCTCTCTCACATCGATGTTTCTTTCTCCCTCTGTCTCTCTTCCTTCCTCTCTCTAAAAATCAATCTTTAAAACAATGTGGCTTGCTGTTTACTATTTTATATTAAAAAATCAAAATATAAACCATTGGGAAAATACATAAATGCTTATGAATCACAAGGTGCAAATGTAAACAAGTAATTTACCAGTACTTTACAATAAAATCAAATAAATTATTTATGGATTTTTTTAAAATAAAAAAGTATTTTCAGATAAATATTCATCAGCTTAACTTAATCATTCTTTCTTTCATAAGAACGATCACTATGAGACATTATAACTCTCCAAAGGAGAAATTCTATAATTCGTTCAGTTCCCTGCCTTAGAAGCTTCATTATAAGGCAGAAGAATGGAATAATTAAAGTTTTAAAATAAGCAAAAATATATAGCTCTAAACCACAGTCCCCTTAAAGAGTTTAATAGGAACACTTTCCCCAATATATTTATAAACAACCTACTGTTTCTATAGTATTAACACTAACTCACAACTAAACCATGAAGATCAAAGCTAATGTGCATTTTTCTTCCCTATATCTAAATTATTAGATATCTGATGGTCTTAAAAATGAACTATATGTGATAGAAAAATGCTTACCTATTGAATAACTAAGTGTTTGGAATATAGACCAGAGGTTGGAAACTGTTTGAGACTCAGCAGTGTAAAAATGAGTCTGTACAAACAGATAAAATGTGCAGGCATGAGCAACCACTGAAGTAACCCACTACGTAACTTCCCTTTTAAAACGGTGTGCCTAAAAATACCAACTTCTTCAAAAGAACAAATTAATCACCTGCCCCTTCTAAATCCCACATATTAAGTGGCACAGTGGTTTTAATAAGAAACAATTACAACGTAGATAAGAAATACTAAATTCTGGTCAGTAACAAAATTTTTGGACCAAATAACAAAAGTATGTCAATAAAGTGTATTTAAGAATAACTACCATATAATGCTAACATTATAACAGCACTAGGATTTTTGCTATCAACAAGCCAAGATTCAGTGGTCCATCGAAAATCTCTCTCTCTCTCTCTCTCTCTCTCTCTCTCTCTCTCTCTCTCTCTCTCACACACACACACACACACACACACACACACACACACACACACTTTCTCGTCTCTACAAATGCAGCTTGGATTGTCTCCTGTTCTTCTTGACTATTAAGTCTTCTGAAAAATATCAACATTCTTTCAACAAGCCAATGATCAAAAATGACCCGTTGCTTTCATGAAAGATCTCTCAAGGTCATTCCGTGTTCCAAGGGCAGCTGCCAAGGACTTGCAGAGATGAAACTGAATTAGCATTGGCACAGGGAAATTGATAGCAGCAAGTCAGAGTCCATTTGTCTTATGCTCAGCAGGACCTATTTAGGTCAGGTGAGGAGTAAGGAATTGGCAAATGGTTCCCGTCTAGCAGAGAGGTGGGGGTAGTTGAAAACTATTGAAAGCGTGGTTGGGCCCCTTTCGTTTTATGGTATGCTCTGCGGTAGGCACCACACATCCGCGAGACAAGAGAGGTTAAAGCAGAACTCTCCTCTAAACTGGCATTATAAGTTAAACAATAATCAAGTACATTTCTGCTGTGTCTGTGTGGTTTTTAAAATGATTCATTGTAAACATCCTATAGGCTTTTTCTACTTAATTAACTTCGGAGATTGAGCTTGATTCTATGTCTGTGTGAAATTAGCATAAATACTGTTCATTCTGGTTCGACACAACTTCCTTTAGAAAAATGTTAAGGCCATTTAATGGAATCAGGGCCAATGGCACAGTGCCCTGACTGAAGTCACACGACTAACTGAAGATTTCTGAAAAAGCCATTGGCGGTAATCTTGCCTTTTCCGTCTCGGTAACTTGAGAGCAGTTTATAGGATCGATTAGTCTCCGACATCTCCATCTCGATCTCCAATAAGCCAAAGAAAATGAAAACTTAAGGCTAGTAACGCTGTCCCGAGCAGATCCCCCAGAGCCGTTAGGTAGGGGATGGAGAAACTGTCGGGGTCCTTTCCCTTCCTCCAGAAATGACGGACCATCCAGTCAGCGATCCACAGCAAGGTGAACACCTACAAGAGAACACCAGCCATTACTCCTGGCGCCCGGACATTCCCGGCCTGGCGAACATGACCATGAGTCTAAACTACTGCTTGCTGAAAGTTAACGGCATGCATTTGAGCATCATGCTTGAAAAGAAGAAATAGCTCACTGACAGGAAGATTTTCCTTCCACAAGAACACATTTCATGTATTCCTATGATAAAATTACTCAACATTTCACATGTATCTTCTCTTTTCCTTCTAGCCTCCCAATTATCACAACCATCCTTATAGTTAATAGAATTGTGCAACTGCCAAAATCATTGGTTTGTTTCAACTTTTTTCTATATGATAATCCTGTGACGAAGGAAGACCATACATGAAGAATATAAAAATGGCAATTAGGAATCATTTAACATTTGATATGCAGGTATATCGATTGAAATAAAGATGGAGAACTGACCATTCATTTATTACTAGTGACCCGTTGTGTAAAATTACCCAAGATCAGGGACCAGCCCCCCCTCCCATGCCATGGGACTGCCCCAAGTCCCGGATTCCCGTCCTGTGTGGCTGGTACACCAAGTCATGGCCCCAAATCCTGTAGTGCCACCCTGATGCCCTGCCTCACAGAAGGTAAGAGCATTGAGGAATGACCTGTCTATATACACTGAGTGGCCATATTATTATGATCTCTGAACGCATAATAATCTGGCCACTCAGTATACATACTATATAATAAAAGGCTAATATGCAAATTTTCTCCTCGACCAGGAGTTCGACCAGCAGGCAGGCCTGCCAACCACCCATGTCATCTCCCCCTGGCCAGGCTGGCTGGACCCCACCAATGCACAAATTCATTGCAGGCCACCACATACACACACACACACACACACACACACACTGAGTGGCCAGATTATTATGCATTCAGAGATCATAATAATCTGGCCACTCAGTGTAAATAAAGATTTACACAGTCAAGATATCTTAAAGGACTATTCAAATATTAAGGTAATGAGTGTGTTTTCTAGGATATCAAGAATACAGGGGTGGGCAAAAGGAGGTTTACAGTTGAGCACACAGATAAACACACTTATTCTTGTATTATGATTCACTTATTTTGTAGTATTTATTTGTATTACAACTATAAACCTACTTTTGTGCATCCCTGGGAAAAGGCCTCTGTGATGCTTTGAGTTTGGGGATCAGATAAACAGGTTGGTCTTTTTGATCCATTTACAGTGGAAGGATTCTGTGATTTTCAAACTCCTGAAGGGTAAAAGGGACTTAGGATTAGAGAGGTTAACATTCACTGATTAGGGACAAGTCAGTAGGTAGAGTGGATTACTTAAGAGCACTTTTCTAGCCCTAACGGTTTGGCTCAGTGTTTCCTTGGAATATTGTGAATAAGGAATTATTTAAATTGGCATTAAGTATCAGGTACTTTTTAACGCAACGTGTCTTACTTTAAAACTAAATGATTATGCATGCTTTTCACAGTGAAAACACCTTGAAAATCAAACTAAGAGTAAGCTGTGTTTTCTCTCATATCACCTGTTTGTTTTTTATGAATATGCATAACCTTTTAGAGGTAAATAGACCTTCGGGAAAGGCAATTTTGTAGCCCCAGATAACTATGCACTCTCTAGCTGTGTTGAATAAATATGTAAATTACAAGAATATATATTTGTTCTGGACAATAGTGGTTCTCTTGACCAGCACCTCCTCTGAGCTAGAATCAGCATCCCCAGGGGGTGCTAGCCTCCCCTCTATGCCCAGCTCACCGCCAGTGACAAACAGCCTTGTGTGCTGTGTGAAGGAAGATGATTTCTTTGGGAGAGGATTGCTTGGAAATATGAAACAAATAAACACCAGAAAGAGCTCTTTAGCACAGTTCTTCCCGACCCCTAACTTACAAAGGCTGAATTCATTTCCCCTATAAAAATATGTTTCCCTAATCCAGTTTCCAGACTGGAAACTTTATGCACTAACATCTAATATTTAAATGTCTGTTAAGAAGCATGTAGGATTACCAGTCAACAGGAAGTCAATCTCCTGATATTCAGACAAAAGCATCCTTGCTTTGGTCTGAACTGTGCTTGCGAAGTGGCAGGTGGGGGAAGGTGAGACAAGAGGGACCTTATTTGGAGAAGGAGTCCATGATATTCACCAAGCTGCCGAAGGGGCCAGTGGCACAAAAATAGTTAAGACCTTCTGTCCAGAAGAAACCCTCAGAATGAGTTCGAGGAATCACGTATTCATAGCCTTGATTTTTAATAGAAAAACACTACTAATAACCTAAAAGTCCAATAGAAGAAGAATGGGTAAATTATGGAATATTCACACAATAGAATATTATATTGCACACTTCCCTGCAATCCCCTCTAAGATCAGGAGTCTGCTCTGTTTAGAGGCATTTTGTCTGATCCCAGCATAACTTCTTAACAATAGCAATGAATTCAACTGTGTCTTTTTTATTTCTGATACTGAATGATGGTTTCATCATCCTCTGACACCTTTAAGCACCCCTTTTAATGAATGCAAACATGTCTCATTTTAATACATTTCCCTAGGTGGCACACAAAAACAAGGCAGATTCGTTTTCGTTAGTCAGAACTAACGTGGCTATTTAGTTTTCAAATTAAAAAGTCATATGGTGCTAAATATTTACTTTTTAAAATAACTAAAAATTTTAAGTTATAGAATCATTCAGGCCAGTACTTTGGGAGTGAAGATTCTGGGTCACAACCAACCAAAATTTTATGCTGAAAAATTTGAGGAATGTTTTCCCCCGCCCATTAGCACTTGCACACAGCTACGCCGTAAGATTATTTTGAAGGTGCTGTGAAAATTCCTCTAGGTCATGTCTGCCAGCTCAGCAGGGACATCCTATCCCACGCACTAGAAAGAGATGGCTCAGCTCCCCTGGTCCTACCTTCTCCTTATTCCGACTTGCCAGGCTGAAAAGAGCTCCGCTCCTCAATGACGTGCTCCACGGGATGCAGGATGCTGTGCCTCCAATGAGGCAGGACAGTCACTGCACCTTCTGGAGCCCAAGCAGGCCGCTCTAGCGAATTAACAATAGGAAACTGTCTCAATCCTAAGACCCTACAATCTAAGCTATAATAGCATAATCACACCATTATATCACCTAAATGCAATCACATTAGCTAAAAAGTAATCTTCAAAAAATTCACCTAGTATTTCAATTTCCCACTTTAAGGTAACCATATTAACCAACTCCCAAAGTTAAAGTAGGTATTTTTACAAACAGTAAAAAAAAAAAAAAAAAAAAAAAAAAAAAAAGTATTAGAATTGTAAATCCTCCCCTCACGTTTCCTTTATCATTCTCTTCACACTTTTCTCTCAACCCAAGCTATCAAACAGACACCAATTAGGAGATAGAGGCAGAGCAGTCAGACAGAAAGAATAAAGAGATCCCTGCTTTCCAGCTGGAACCTGGCAGATTTAAATCCTGAGGAGTGGGGGGGGGGGGAAGAATGTGAGTGAGGTCAGGCAAACTGTTAAAGACCCCTAGTTGGTCAGCTCTCCTTTCAGATGCCATCTGGGAATTGGATTTGGTTAAGTATCGAAATATAAAAGATATAATCACACCATTTCATGAGGACCTACTATGTGTCAGGTATTTATAACTACCATGCAAAGAGAAATCATTGTCCTCATTTAACAAGCATGAGCAAGACGACCCCAAAGAATGAAGTATTATAACTTGCCCCAAAAGGCCAAGCCAACAAGGCTAAGCTGCCTTGCTAGGCTACTGGGCGCTTATTCTGGGATTCCACTTATGGTCATGTTGCCCCCACATAAAAATTCTTCCTTATTATTTAGAAGAATGACTCCAAGGAATGCGGTATCAGAGGCATGGTAGGGATTCTTAATGCTAGAATCCACATGGTCTAATCTTCTCACTGACACCGTAAGAGACTCAATGCCCCGTAATCCACAGCTATGATGACTATGATAAAATAATGAAACAATAATAGCACTTCAGATGCATTATCTCTTTTTTTCCTTATAAAACCCCCTGAGGTAGGCCTATTCTTAGTCTCCTTTTACAGATGAGAAAACAGTCCCTGAGAGGTTACCTTGCCCAAACTGCCACAGATGGTGAGTGGCGGCAAGCAGAGCCCAAGCCCTTACGTACTATCCCCAGTGCGTCAAAGGAAATGTATCAGATCTCTCAGGTTTGCTGGGAGTGGGAAAGCATTGAAAATTATCATTCTACAGAATAAGCTACACTCTTTATTCTGGTCTTCAAGACCTTTCATGATCTTTTCCATTTTATTTTCTATCACTTCCTTTCACAAGCCCTGTGCTCCAGAAATTCTAACCATCTCTCTATATAAAACCCTAATATGCAAAGTGTCCCCTTGGGAGTTCAACCAGGAGACCGGGAATTGGATCGCTCACTATGACATGCACTGACCACCAAGGGGTGGTGCAGAGTGAAGGAAGGCCCCAGCTGGCAGTCGGAGGCCTCCATCAGCACTGATCGCTGGCCAGGCCTAAGACCTTACCCATGCACAAATGTCATGCACCAGGCCTCTAGTTTTCCATAAATACCCTGCATTTTCTCACTTACTTAAGGCTACTCCCTTCTGTGGAGATGGCATTTTCTAAGAATGCCACCAACTCTCATGCACTACAAAAAAACATCCCTGTCCCCAAAGAAAGCAGCTCTCCCAGGACTGAGCTTCCACAGCACTCTGTCCTCCTCCTGTCAGGACATGTTTATGTCCTTGACCAGGTCCCTACTTGACTCCAGTAGACATCGTTTCTGTGCAAACTCTATGAAAAGATCTAATGAAACCAAAGGCACTGCTTCAAGCCTACAGAAGTTGCCATCCTGAAAACCATGACCCTCACTAAGGGCTAAACAAAGGGTCCAAGCTATTCTTGTACACACAGGAGAGTAGACTGGAGCCAGACTCCATCGCGCATCTGGATCTGGGTAACTCACTTAACTTCTCTCCACGCCAAAATGCCGCGTCTGTGTTGGGGACGCATAG